CTCTGATCAGAAAACCATCTCTGCCTTCACTTTATAAAACTCTTCACCTGCCTTTTATGCTACTTGAAATTCAACACGTTTCTGATTTGGGTTAAAAGGAAGCCTATCCTGTAAAAGGAAAGAAAAAAATCAGTCTCAAAAGGAAGTTTGGTATCACAGAGAAAGAAGGGCTTCTGAGTCAGAGCGGTCAGAGTTAGTTTCTACCTCTGCATCTGGCTGTTTGAATTGAGCAAACTGTTCACCTGTAAAATGAAGATAAATAATTTTACTGACAAGAGTGTTTGCAGGGTAAGATCAACAGGCCCTGAAATTCAGCACTTACTAAATAGTAGCTCTTGTTCTTATCCCTTTTAGTACTAAATGGTCATTCTAAAATAGTCACAGAGTACCCAGAGACAGATCTTTACATATCAGAGGATATTAGGTCACCACAAAAGATTGCTTTTTTGTAACATACAACTGAGTTCAGCAACTCAGAGGGAATGACAATTTTCATTGGTGGAAGGAGAGTTTGGCACTTTGGTTCTATAAGAATTTTCCCCCAGGGATGGGCATCAGGCTTGGAAAAGAGGAACAAAGTTTTCTGCACCAACTGACTGCCCGGAATTCAATGCATTTAGCACCTTTGTCAGTTACATTTGGAGTTACGTAGACTTGTAGGTTGGCCTGGGAAGCTAACCAATAAATTCTTTTTCAGTCAGATAATGTATCTTAAACTTCAAAAAACTGTCCTTATGAAGCTTTATTGGAACATAACCTGACTGTAAATTGGCATTTATATAATAATCTTATGTATCTACATTTGTATCATGATAACATATAGCTACAAGAAAGCAGAAAAACAATCCTGAAAAAGGAAAGATTTAGAGTTTGGAGATAAAGTGATAAAGGGTTGACTGCGGACTGAGCGAAAGTTGCTGCCTTCAGGGGAGTTCCTTCTAGGAAAAGGAAGATCTATGTGGAGTAGGGGATTGATGATGTCTTTTAACTCAAGTCATCTTTGAACACACAGATTTAGAAGTCACCAGCATAGAACTTGGTTCCTGAGGAAATAAATATCCCAGCTCTGATCATTAACAATTCATGCTGTTTTATACAATCTTCAAGGTGTGTATCTTTTGGTTTTTAAGACTGCAGAAAGCAAAGACACAAAATTATTCATATTATCACCATGTTTTCATTGGTAACATCTTTAGAAAAAGCATGTCATAAATACACCATTCTAACCCCTGAATAATTAAACTTAATGAAAGTATAACGGGTATAGTAAGTTGGATTTCACATAGATTATAGACTGTGTTACTCTGAAAATGTATCATCTATATTTACCTTTTCCTTAAAGGAATACAGAGTGCTAATCAGGTCATGATCAGGGAATACTTTTAGCTTTCTTCCTATTTTAATCTCCAAGAATTCACTTTGTATTTCCCTGGATTGTTCCTTGAATAAAATACTCTTCTAATTGTATGCTTAACACAGAATTCCCTTTTAATGAAACAGTTCTCCCCTAACCCCACAAAAATTAGAGGAGATTTCAAATCTCACATGCTTTTTTCTTTGAGGGCTACATATTTCTGCCCATTTTGATGAAAGTCATAGTATTTTTTTGCTGTGAAAAAATTCTAAGATTCCCCCAAGATACCCACCCCCCTGGTATATGCATTTCTTCTCCCAGTTATTCAAACACTAATCTAGGTGCTGTTGTGAGGAGATTTTGCAGATAAAATTAAGGTCTCAAATCAGCTGACTTTTCAATGGGGAGATTATATTGGGTGAACCTAACCTAATCAGGTGACACCTTAAAAAAGGACAAGGCTCTACCCGGAGAGAGAGATTCAGGATGTGAGAGAGATTTGATAGGAGCGAGAGTCCCCTTTGATGGCTTTGAAGATGGAGTGGGCCACATGGCAAAGAACGTGGATGGCATCTAGAGACTGAGAGAAGCCTCTGGCTGACACCCAGCAAGGGAACAGGAACCTCAGTTCAGCTTCAAGCTCTGCCTAAAACTTAAGTGAGCTTGGAACAGGGTCATCAATGTCAGATGAGATTGTAGCCCCAACCAATACCTTGATTTCAACCTTGTGCGATCCTGAGCAGAGAACTCAGCCATGCCACATACAGAACTATAAGCTAATGAGTGGGTGTCGGTTTAAACTGCTAACTTTGTGGCGATTTGTTACACAGCAACAAAAAACTAATACATGAGTGTTTGTTTTAGGAGTGTAAATAAAGCAGGAAAAAAAAATGCTTGAGCATCTCCACTTACAAATAGGCTAGAGGCTAAATTCCAAAGGCTTTACTAAGTACATTTTTCTTCAGATCAGAAGTGATCTATGCAAATCACTAGCAGGACCTCTCCAGAGGGGGCAGCTGATGATGCATTTTTGCCTTCACGCACTGCTTGTTCATATTCACAAAAGCAGCTTTCGTAACTTGGCATTGCACACCTGTTATATTCCCCCAAATTCTTCTCAAAAGGAGAAACACTCTGACAACTCATCACCCCTGTTTGTTGGCCCCTGCTCCCCACCAGATGCTCACGCTGCCTGTATGGCATTTACAGATGTGATTGCCGTGGTACTTGAAGCAGGTGCCTGTGAGTGGTGAATCGCTCTTCTGCTTAGTGCTCCAAAGAGCACTAATAGTGTGAGTTTGTGTGCATCTTGGTGGTGGAGATGTGATCATCTGCTTTCTCCATTTGTGCTACTCAGAGGAACTGTACTGTGATGGGAAGAGAGATTTAAAAGCTTGTACATCTCCTTGAGGTCTAGCCTTTCTCCTCTGGTCCTTTTTCGGCTTTGAATAACCTGAAGACACACCAGTAAGATTATCTGAGACAATAAATGGTCAAATAAATGAAGAATGAGTGAGTGAGTGAATAGATGAATATATATAAGACAAATCTGTTTCAGAGTTAAAATGTAATCAATGGAGAGGCACTCTGGCACTGAAAAAAAGGTAATGTTATAGAAGTTAGAAGGCATGAGTAGGAGATGACTGCTAGTTCTGTTATATTGGAGAAGTCACTTAATCATCTCAAGGCCTCAGTCTCCTCACCTGGAAATACAGTAAATTGTGCTAAATAGTCTCTAAGTTTTCTTTACTTCTGAATTTAGTTTTAAGCCAATTAAGAGGCTAAGCAATGTCACACCCATGAAACTTCTGTTTGTCATTTTTATGTTCTGGCTTACCTCTTGTCCGTCAGAGGACACACTGCCTTTCCATGACCAGCTGTCTAGATTCTTTTTAATCAGTCAATGTGCATTGTCAATATTTTCCATACTCAACAGAATTCAAATCTCTCAAGTTCCACTAGGTTTACTGGCTAAATGTATTATGTACACCAAAGCTATCAACTCTTAACTATTTAGGTCCAAACAGTTTTTATCTTTTATGTTAACATTTATATATACAAATTTTTTATATTAAAATTAAAACTTCCTATAAATCAGTTTGTTAAAAGTCTACTTAGAGTAAATTACTGCACTAAATCCCATGAAAGAACCAGAAAAAAAACCTTCTGCCCCCAAAGATTTTGGTTATCAATATACACAAAAAGATGAATTCTAAACAATAGGGATAAACTAAGTTGACTACACTGGCATATTGCAGAGAAGAATCACTAGGAAATGAGTTAGATGATCCAGGCCCTTTTAAGCCACTTGACTCAAACAAATCAGGTATCCTCTCTCTCAGCCTCTGTTATTTCATATGTAAGGTTGGTATAATTCCTGCCCGATTCTCAAGGATGCATAAAATTCCTACTCTGTACCAGGCCCCTTATTATGTCTTAATGATAAACAGATGAACAAGACTAGCCCAGCCCATCGAGGAGTTCATGGTTAAGTGTAGGTTAACATACGTGCAAACAAAAAGTTAATACAATGTGATCAGCACTACTGTTGATCAAAAGGTGCTAGAGGAAGAGCAGAGAGTTATTTTTTTTCCCCAAAACTGTGGAAATGTCCTCTAATCCAGAGGTGATGCAATGTGAAGTATGCAGCATCACTTTTGAAGTATTCTTGCCTAATGAATTTAATCAAGTCTTTAGATCTAAATTTAAACTGACAGGAAACGAGGGGGATAGAAGAATGAGTTAAATGAGATCAAAAGAAAGCATTCATATAAGTCCAGAAATTGGAACTTTTAAAGGACAACTGGCTTGATCTCTTCCACAAGTCGATGTCATTAAAAATTAAGAAGGAAGCAGGGCTCTTTTATATTCAAAAAGAGTTAAAAAACAGCCAAGGTACTACATGGTCCTTGATAATGTCCTGATTTGTACAAACCATCGGTAAATGTAACAGGGACAACAGAAATCTGATGGATTGGGTATTACAAGATGTTGGAGAAATAGCTTAATTTTTTAAGAGTGTTATGGTATTGTGATTATGTTAGAAATATCCTAATTGTATATAATAACGATCTGGCAAAAAAAAATGATGTTCTACTTTACATTAAAATACAGCAGAAAAAATAAAGGCATTACAGCAAAAATGTTAACAACTGATAAAATGATATGATGAATATAGGAGTGTTCTATTATACGATGTTTCTAAATTTCTGTGTCTGAAAAATTTCATGATAGTTAAAAAATAACAGATAAAAAGTAAATGAGACAAAAGACTTGAAATCACCTGGTAAACTTTAAAAGGATAGACAGATAAAGGAGATTTTTTTGTTAAATTGTTGGAGAAAGAAGGAATGGTCCTTTTTCAAGCATATGTGCTACTTTGGACCACACTGATAAGAGAAGTCAGGACTGGCCACTACAGAGAGCCACTCAATGCCTCTAGAAATAAAAACCAGGAGCTATATCATGGATTCCCAGATACTGATTTTTTAACACCTCCCTTCATGCCAAGATGACCTTGACCAAAACTGAAGACAAATGTCTTCTTGCTGAGAAAGGCAAGCTAAAGCAACATGCACTTAAGAAGAACCAGAAAGCCAGTAACTATTTCAATGTGAGAGTAACTGGTGATTTTTCTTTTTCATAGAGAAGTAGGATTTGGCACCCAAAGCAGAGATTTGAAACCATGGATGATTGCCCTTCTCATTGTGTCATTACTGACAGTGGTGGCAGTGGCCATCGGACTTCTGGCTCACTTCTTAGTCACTGGTAGGTAAAATATGGGTATCATTCAGTTTGATTTCATTTTTCTGTATAGCTTTATTTGCATACACGTAAATTTAATTTCATCTCAAAATACTGTTTCATCAGTAAATGTTCACATTGTGAATTTATTTAATCATTTCATCAACAAGTAATTACTAAATAAATGCCTAGAATAAACAAGTACTTTTCTGGGCACTCAAGAAATAGCACTAAGCAGTGCAGACAAATTTCCTACCTTCTTGGAGTGCACACTGCAGTATTCTTTTGAGAACCTACACAAAAGATCAAAACAGTAATTATCTGAAATTTACTAGTCATCATAATAAATTTTAATCATTCATTGTATGTTAAGGTGAAAAACTATAATAAATTAGTTATTAAATTAGTTTTCAAAACTGGCTCTTTC